TGGACTATATTAGGAAAGAAAATGATTTTGATATGTTTAAGAGACTCATTAAGACCCAGGCCTATAGCGACCTGCCTTAAGTTATTGTGGGTTTTTATTTTTCTACTTTTATCTTCTCTTTACTTCTTACTTGTTACGAGCTATGCTAGATTACCTATTATGAAGGAAATGTGACAAATGATAGTTTTTAATGTTAAAATGCGCAAAAGAGCAAAAAGCAAAAGAGTTATTAAGTTTTTGGAATTTCAAGAGGTTGGGATTTTATGTATCAATTAATCCCTTATTCTCAATAAGACTCGCTGGTCTTGCACTTTAGAAGCGGAGAAAGTATATTAAGAATTACCATGAGAGAAAGACATGTAAAAGTAGGATTTGGCGTACTCTTTCAATAATTTTTATCTTCTTTAATCGCAAAAAGGCTATTGATGGACGGCAATTAGCTGATGAAACCCTTTTTTATAGCGACTTTCACGAGGGGTAACTCAGAAAGCAAAGCCATGATGATCAGTCACAGAGAAAGCTTAAAAATATGCAGAATTATTCTGATGTACGTAGCCTGGAGAATGATACTATGTTCTTATTGACTGATTGGGAGGTCCGTGTTAGTTTCGAAACGCTTAGCTCGTGTACATTTATGTTATGTTTGTTCCGGTCTATTATTTCTTCGTTGGTTAATGATTATTACTTACCGTATTTCCTCGAATAATAGCCGGGGGCCATTTTTTTTTTTTCGCACAAAAAGGGGGCAATTATTCGAGGAAAGGCGATTATTCGAGGGAGGCGATAATATCAAATATTTCTCATAGAAGGTCGTGCCTTAAATATTTTGTTTTATTAGACTATTAAATCAAAAAATAATCACACCAAATATAAACCGAACATGGGCTTTTTAGTGTTTCAAATTTGTTTCATTGATTACAGTAATCAATGTTCAATGTCAATATCTTCGGCGTCAGAGCCTGAATCATCGCTGATGACTTTAATTGACTTTAATTTCAGCTTCATCATTCAGATCCGACCGCACGATTATGTCTTCTCCTCAAATTGTGCTGATTTCTGGCTGTTCAAGCGGCATGGGACTCGCCACGGCTGTGTTTCTCGCTAAAGATGCTCAGAAACGCTTCAAGGTGTACGCCACCATGAGAAATCTGGCGAAGAAAGGACAACTGGAAGAGGAAGGAAAGGAATATCTTGGAGACACACTGGTTATTAAACAGATGGACGTTTGTAGTGACGAGTCAGTGGAGAAAGCTGTGAAAGAAGTGCTGGACACAGAGGAAAGAATTGATGTACTGTGTAAGTTACCTTTCGCTGATTTGTTGATGATCCGGATCGTTTAAGTTGGAGTCAAGTTGTTATTTCATACTTATACCTATTGCGTGAATCTAAGAGTTACTAACTGAAGTGGAACCCCACTAAGCTCGAACCTCCAAGATCCGATTTCCCTTGAACCATGTCATTTACCATCAGCTAAACTCAAACTCGCGCTAACTTTTTTTTGTCTCCCTTGAGAGTTCACTTAAGCGGGGTTCTACCGTGTTGAGAATATTTGCTAAGTAGCCTATTAAATACAGGGGCGGATCCAGGAATTTTTGACTGGGGGGGGGTCCAAACTTTGGTGCAGAAAGGACTGTTGGACTCTTTCGAGGCAAATTACTTCTCCCCAACACCCCCCACACCCCCTCCCACCAGTCGCAGTTGCGCATTATAATTCCTTGGCCACTTACTTGGATTCATTAATTTAAAAAAATCAGCCAGTTAAAAAGTGATATACGATCCTGTTGATGTAAGAATTTCATTTTTAAAGTTGTAAGCGTCGGGTCTGATAGGGGGGTCCAGACCCCCCGGTCCCTCCCCCTGGATCCGCCACTGAAATACATTATCACCAATTAGTTCTATTCTTTACTTTGTTTCCATCAGTAAAAACATCAGTTTTATATAAGTAAAATGTTTTCCTCTGAGCAGCTCAGGTAAACATTGCTTTCTTTAACAGTTTGCGCTGTAGAAAGATCCTCTTTATTTATAAGGTTCTTTCTTGATTTGTGGCCATGTTATTGTACAATGTTTGCAGTTAACAATGCCGGCGTGTCACTTTCAACAATCCTCGACTGTGTCCCTATGGAAATGGCCAAGGAAGTATTTGACATCAACTTTTTTGGGACCTTGCGGTTGATACAAGCAGTTCTCCCAAGCATGAAAGCAAGACAAAGTGGACACATAATCAACAACAGCAGTGTTTTTGGAATTATCGGTACCCCATTCTTCGAGATATACAGTGCATCGAAGTTTGCTGTCGAGGGGCTAACAGAATCTCTAGTTCCAATACTTAAGCAGTTTAACATAAGGTAAAACTAATCAGCTATGAAAGTTTGATATTTTCTTTTAAATTTTTTTCTCTTTTTTTGCATCTAGGGCCCTGTATTGATGTCAAAGGGTATTTTTACTGAAAATAGAATTTTTACAAGAGATCCCCCTCAGACTAAGACAAACATTTCCATCATTTCTTAGGGGTTATGAAAAGTCTTCAAAGAATGTAACAGAACCCCTTTATTTTGTAAGGGATTGAGTAGTTGGCAGTTTAACTTTGGTAATAGTGTAGTTATCTCAATATTTACCATGTTAGTATTTCCAAAAGCCTCTTTTAAGTTCTCTTTGCTGGCTCTGACTGAGTTGGATCTGATTTGATTCCAAGTCCCTTTGAAATTTTAGTTGCGATCATTAAGTATTTAAAACCAGTATTCCTTCAGCAGTTACTGATATTTCTATTTATTCTCATCACTGCTTAGCTTAAGTTGCTGTAAAGAGAAATTATTTTGTGGTTTGCAATTTTTGCAACATTTGGATTTTTTTCTTTTAATTTACTCAGTAGTCTGTGATTTGCATGTAACATCTTCCAGCCATATCCATATAATTCAGCAAATAAATAATGTGAATATTAAGCAATTATTGAATGAGGTTGAGCATGATATCATGAATTATCAATGTGAGATCTGAGTTATCTGCCAAAGCTGAGTAGATAATGTGGACACAAGGTTTAATAATTTATGATATCGTGTGAAAACTGAATTCAATAACATTGTTTCATTATACATTTCTTTTCTGTTTGCAAAATTTGAGAGCGCTAGACACACGAGGGCCTTGGAAAGTGGGCAGACTTTGAACTCAACATGATAACCCAATTTATTGTAACGTTTTCTCAGTTTGCCAGTGGCAGTACAAATCCTGCAATCTGATTGGTTCAGAGAGCAGGCAGTATTCTCTCCTCCTGCCCGCTCTCAGCAGGGTTTCTATTTTGTGTTGAGTTGCTTTGTAGAACATCTCTAGCTTTATTGCAACTTTTTCATTGAAATATGTTGTTTTGCTGGCTGGGCAGCATTTTTTAGCAAAGACTTATGATGTCACTTTTAACCCAGATATGGTGTTTAATTTCTCTCTTCTCTCTCTCCCTGGAATCACCTTGGATTTTCTGCAAAAAATTGATTTCAAAATTAATTTTGTGGTAAATCTGATATTAGATAGATTGACACATTGCCTGAAAACCATTTGTAATTTAATAATCCTTCACAAAAAGTAGCTCAGAAAGTTAAAAGGAGAGGTATAGGCAGTTAACAATTACATTAATCAATGTGACTCTCATTCACTTAATATCTGAATTCTCCAAAGCAATTTGTACATGTTTAAAATGTGGAGCTAAGGTTAGAGATCTTCAATATTCAATAATCACACTTTTGTGTATTTGTTGCAAGTCCCTTAGATGCAAACATTTCCACCATAAATTTCATAGTAGAAACCGAAGGAATTCATTGAGTGAAGTCACATTACATTCCCTTGTATCTGGCTAGAAAAAACATCTCATTCAACTTCAGTTTTTCGGTATAAGAAAGACAAGAAATATGACATCACATGTAGACTCTCAGAATAATTTCACTTACGATAAGATTTTCCGTGACATTTAAAACTGAACAGAGGTAATATCTACAAAGATTGATCGTCATTGGAAATGAATCGAGTATGTCTTGAATACTGTTTTGAATATGGCATCCAAGATCTTGAGCACAGGTTTTCCCTCTACCGACCTCCTGGCTGGTGAACAACATTCATATCTGCTGCATGTATTGGGTTATCATGTCAACTTCACATGTCACTGTATATTGACCATATGCTCTCGACCAATCAGAGTTTTCATTGTAAGTCTCGTGTATATTAATCAAACTTATCAGGTAGAAGTTGTTTAATTTTGATCAAACACCCAATTCTTGTGAATAATTTTCAGTGAAATGTGTAATAGCTAGAGGGTAGAGTTTAATGTGTTTTTGTTTATCCTTCTGAAATAGATGCACTCTTCTTGAGCCAGGCCCTGTAAGCAGTGCAATTGGAGACAACAATACTGAAAGGACCAAGGGTGTTGACTTGAAAACCGTTGACCAAAAAACGCAAGACTTGTGGGTCAGAATGCTGGGCAGAATTGGTCCAACATTCGAAGGAAATTTATTAACTTCGCAGGAAATAGCAGAGGTCGTTCAAGGTATAATTCTAAGCGATGAGGGCCAGTTTCGTTATCTACCTAATAAAGCAATGTTGGATGAAGAAATTACAGCCAGATTTGCTGATGCTACAGGGTTTAAATCTGTGAACCTCATTACCAAAAAGTTTTGTGATGAGAAGTAGTATTCCTACAAAGTCTGCAATTTAAAAAATGGTTTTTGAAAAAATGTAGAATAGGCAAGAGAGTGGAAGGGCAAACTTTCAACTTGTATTCATAGAAGTGTCATGTGATCCAATAAAGAAATAAAAGTTGCTGTAAAAATGATTTACTCAGAACCAATTTCTGTAATGATGTTTGTTTTTAGTGTGTTAGTTAACCCCAATCACTTTCCCCACCATAGATAGAACTTCTGCCCCCTTTTAATCCTTTCATTATTTCATTAAATTCCTCCCTGTTAGGTAAATATCTCTTTCTGAGGATTTCATGGGTAGCAAGGAGGGTGGGTTTTCCTCTTTAATCTGCTATCTTTTCCCCTCACATGGGTTTATGAAACTTCTCCGACCCACCAACTCTCTCTTACCTCCAATACCTTGTACTTGATTTCCACGAGCTAAAGACGGTGCACTGTTCCTGACATGTTTTCTGTCGAATACCTAGGTTTTATTTTTTTAAGAATATCTAACGGAAGGTTTTTCAGTATTAATGATTGTAAATGAACATTCCTCAACCGTTAGTCCCGTCTGCAGTTGATATCAGGGTTAGTGATTGTTGCGCGTATATGATTTCTGAACAGTTGTTTGAGAAATGAGCCCGCGCTTCTCAAAATCTGCTTTTCGAGAGGGGGATCTCAAAGGGGTGGTGGAGTTACGGCCCACGGTAAACATTTTGGCCATTTTGCGGCTAACGGTTAATATCTTTCCCTTGTTGTCCATGTTATTTTTTTTTTTTTTTTTTTTACTGTCAACGCTTTTTCTACTAAAGGTCAAAACTATTCAATTTTTACGCCTAACGACTAATTTTTTTGGCCTTTTCGCAGCTAAGGACTACTGAACCCCATTGAGGCCCTCGAAGGGGGAAGGCTAGATCTGAGAGCTAGTAGGAGCTCAGTAATGGGTTCCTGGAGTAAGGCAGAAATAGATCCGACAGCTAAAATAATTCAACAGGTGTATCTTGGTAACGAAATCTTTTGTTATTTATTTGGTAACTCCTAGTTTTGTTATTGACTTTTTCGGGAAAATTTTTTTCGAAAAGGAATATTTTCCATCGCAACCAGGGAAGAATATTGTTACTTGAACAGCGAAAAAGCGTTGATATTTAAATAATACTTTGTGGATTACCTAGTTATACGACTTTTGCAAAAATCTGCCAACTAAGGTGATAGAGTTCCTTGTTTATCTTTCCAAAAGACAAAATCAGAACATATTACATTTATCATTGCAGTATTTTAAATAGCCACGCCTAAATTTTTTAAATCTGAATTCAGTTAAATTTTGCCTCCTTGAATTTTTTACGTCAATTTCTGAAAGCTGCGATTTTTGCCCCCTGCTTTGTTCAAACAAAGTCCGAGAAGGTCAAGTATAAATAAACTGAGTTATTTTCATTTCTATTCACGCCTTTGACATCGCTGATTTTTGTAACCTGTTTACTTATACAAGCTACTTAGCCACCCCATTAGCAGACTGACAATCATTTAACATGGCCGCCCAAATCGTGTTGATTTCTGGCTGTTCTAGCGGCATCGGACTCGCTACAGCTTTGTTTCTCGCTAAAGATGCTCAGAAACGCTTCAAGGTTTACGCCACCATGAGAAATCTGGAGAAGAAACGACAACTGGAGGAAGAAGGAAAGGAATATCTAGAAGACACACTGGTTATTAAACAGATGGACGTATGTACTGACGAGTCTGTGGAGAAAGCTGTGAAAGAAGTGCTGGACACAGAGGGAAGAATTGATGTACTGTGTAAGTTACTTATTTTTGTTGATTTGTTAATATTCCTGATAGTTTTGTCGGAGATAAGTTGTAGTTTTCCATTTAACTGGTCACAAATATATATCAATCAGCTTAGTGCAATATCACGGATGAGTTCTCTTCCATACTTTGTTAATCTCAGTAAAAACACTGTATGTTTCTAAATCGATATGTTGATTTCGCAACCCCATTGAAAAAATGATCGGAACCTTAGGTTTAAGTTGCCTTTTGCTATTGAGATACGCTGGCAAGGACGGCCAGAATAATGTAAAACGGTCTACAGAACAAAAGAAGCCACAACAAAATTACAGGAAAAAGCTGACTAAATCCTTCTTGACTCGTCATGCAATGGCGAGCACATCAATCATTCGCCAGTGCCGTAGGCTAATCATTGAAAAGAGAAATTTTGTTTTGTTTCGTCTTTTTAATTAAAGGAACCCATAACCTTAAATTTTAATTAAAGGAACACCAAAAAGCCTTAAAGTTATATTTAGGCTGGGCTTCTTTAAACGAAATCCAAGGTCATCAAAGAAACCAATCACACAAAAGGAAAATACCTCCCGAAGTGTCCACAAGTAAAACTGCTTATTAGAGACCGGTCATTATCAAGTGTTTATAGTCTCTTGGTCGTTATTTATCGCTTTGAGGTGGGGGTGGTAGTGGTGGAAAGAGTTTGGTTACGTCATGGTAAAATTTTTTTGATCTTGTGAACGCCCCTTATTGACAGTCAATTTTCTACCGTCCCCTCCCCCCTCACCCCTCTCCCCCTTTACACTCTGTTAGCGAMGACTGATTTCCTCTCCGTCCCCCCTGTAGCTGTAAGCCATTTGATGTTTACCGAAATCCTCAGACCCCCCCTCCCACCCCATTCCGGGAGATAAATAATGACTGGCCACAAATCGAGTGTGGATAACAAAGTCGCGATCGGTTTTGATTAGTTGAGAGTGTGAAGCGAGGTTTGCTATCCCAAATTATATTAATTTGTACAGAGTACTAAATTTATAATACCTTCTTATTTTTGTAGTTAATAATGCAGGAATCGGCTTAATTACTGCGCTGGAATGTATTCCAATTAAAATGGCTAAGGAACTGTTTGAAGTGAATTACTTTGGAGCATTGAGGTTAATTCAGGCAGTGATACCAAGCATGAAAGCGAGGCAGACTGGCCTGATCATCAACAACAGTAGTCATTTTGGCATTGTTGGAGTTCCTTTTGTGGATATTTACTGTTCGTCCAAGTTTGCAATCGAAGGTCTGACGGAAAGCATGGCTCCAGTCCTGCGGCAGTTCAACATCAGGTGTGGTGTATTTTCAAGCAGCCTCTTCTTTTTGGGGAAGTCCGTTGTGCAAGTCAAAATTGATCAGTGAAAACAATTGATGTTGGCGTGTTGAAAAAGAAAAGTAAGGACTACAGCGCAGCACGCTGACATAAATTTTTTCATAGGTTTTTCATTTCTAATCGTGCAACAATCTTCGCCGAAGAGGAGGGACAGCTTGAAGTCTAGCTGTAATTAGCACATCCTTCATTTTCCGGCGATCTCGAAAGTGCCCCTTAAATTGGTTTTATGAAGAGGCAGTTGTTGGTAACGTAAGCTTATCTTATGAATAGAGGAAAACTTCACGGTCTCATTTCAAAAACTCTCACTACATACCGTTCAGTTGCAATATCGAGCGTGTGTTGCTTCCTGCTTAGTATAGTTTTTTCAATGTGTCTATGTTATTATTAGGTGCTGCTTGTTGGAGCCAGGCCCCGTGCAAACTACTATTGTACCCAAAGCAAACGAATGGAGCGAAGCAGGTGTGGACCTGACGATCTTAGATCCAAAGACAAAGGATATAATGGAATCTGTATTCTCCAACGTACACAGAACCTTCAGCGCCGCCATGCAGAGCTGTGAGGAGGTGGCGCAAATTGTGCAGGAAATAATCTTAGGAGAAAAGAAAAATTTGCGACATCAAACCAACGAAAAATTTGGACCTGGTGAAATCCCTGCCAAATTAGCTGATCGCACAGGAAATGCATCAGTTGATATTATATCAAAGCACTATTTGGGGAAATAAAATTTCTGTTTTAACCAGCTCTCAAATATAGCTAGCGTACAAACGTCAGCAATTTATTGTCGTTTACGATTTACTATGAATCAACATTACTCTTCCAGAACGTTTGACGTTAAATAAAATAACAGAGAAGGTACCTATTCATTAGTGTATGAATTACTGCAATTCACATGACTTCAGGGAATACCATTACGATAACAGCAGCAAAATATATTTTCCTCTTAACCTTTACCTCCCAAGATCCAATTAGTAAATCTCCCTACTTCCCTTCATACATATCCTTATGAATTGGACAGGAGAATTTGGTCTTATTCGAAAACAAAACCCTCTGGCTGATAAACTGTTCTCATAACGTGTTGACAAGATAACGTTTTGGAGTTTAAGGATCAATTAATCCATTATTCCGAAAAAGACTTGCCGGTCTTGCAAATTTATTGATTCTTTAGGAATCAGTCGTGTCTATCTCTCTTGGTAATTTTTTATGATACTTTCTCAGCTTTTAAAGTAGTAGGCTTGGCGTATTCTTCCAATATATTTTTATCTGCCATCATTGCAAAAAAGCAAAGACACAATTGACGTCATTTCTATTATCAGTGATAGACAACAATTAGCCGATGAAACACTGCAAGGTGTAACTGAAAAAGCAAAGCCATCATGATCAGTCACAGAGAAAGCTTAAAAATATGCAGAATCATTCTGATGTAGTTAACCCAGAGAATGATATAGCTCCTTAATTTACATAAAAGCTTTGGTAAAAATAACTTTTCGCGAGACAGCGTGTATCCTACGTATTACAAATTACAAATTCAAATGTTCAATAGACTTTCTCTAAATCGCAGCGAAATTTACCGGCTCGTTAAGAGCACTAATTGGCAGGTATACCATGATCCAGAGTGAATAATAATCGCTTATTCGTTAGCGTGCATGTAATGAGTGCAGTGCGCTTGAAGGCTCTTGCTATATTTTGTACTCTCCGACAAAATAAAAACAAATTTGGACAAGGCCAAGAAAAATCTAAATCGTTAATCCTCATCTGCTTGAAACGAAATAAAAAAATCTATCGAACAATATCGTTCTTAAGCCATGTGGATTTAGTGCTTACTAAGTGTTTTATTTACGCAATCACGTGCTTGTTCATTGTTTTTACGTGGTAGAAATGAATAATAAATATACTAGAATGACGCAGCTTAACAAACTCATTTAAAGGCGGGCTGAGCTAGTACAGCTATCATTTGCAGTGAAAAAGCAAAACTGTCAAAGGAGTTCTGATACAAAGAGATCATGTCTTCTCCTCAAATTGTGCTGATTTCTGGCTGTTCTAGCGGCATCGGACTCCCTACAGCTGTGTTTCTCGCCAAAGATGCTCAGAAACGCTTCAAGGTCTACGCCACCATGAGAAATCTGGCGAAGAAAGGACAACTGGAGGAAGAAGGAAAGGAATATCTTGGAGACACACTGCTCATCAAACAGATGGACGTCTGTATTGACGAGTCAGTGGAGAAAGCTGTGAAAGAAGTGCTGGACACAGAAGGGAGAGTTGATGTACTTTGTAAGTTCTACTGCTCTGATTTTATTCCAAGTAATGGACCGTACTAGGAGAATTTTATTTACGCTTCTTTGGAAAAAAGATACTGAAGGAGCAAAATACCTTTGCTTTGTCAGAGCCGCGTTTTGGACTCGATTGAAATATAAGCATTCAAGAACAAGTTTCCGTCAGCCACCCTCCATTCCCTAACTATTTTCTTTTCAAATTTACAGTTAATAACGCCGGCACGCTTATTATGTCAGCGCTGGAGTGTGTTCCCATCAAAGTCACCAATGAACTGTTTGAAGTCAACGTCTTCGGAGCACTGAGATTGATCCAGGCCGTGCTACCTAGCATGAAAGCGAGGCGGAGTGGGCTGATCATTAATAACAGCAGCCATCACGGTGTTGTTGGAGTTCCTTTTGTGGAAATTTACAGCTCGTCAAAGTTTGCTTTGGAAGGTCTGACAGAGAGTATGGCTCCACTACTCGGTCAGTTTAACATAAGGTAAGACGCTTTTCCCTCTCACCACAAGGGTAAGTTACTTTTACCTCTCTTTCAAGTCTGGTTTTTCATTCCTTTGGAAGGAATGCGGGCTTCTTCTGAGAGCAGCGGGTGTTTACCGAGCCGCCAACTGTCGCGCCCTTTTCATGAAAATAGCGAGGTCCATTACGTCACGATCTCAAACCAATTATTGCTACCCAGTCAATAATTGTCCTGGTCTCCAGATTTAAATCATATTGACAGTTCGGAGGGGAACGATTTGGATTACAATTTTCTTTAGTTAATCGTTACATCCACCCATTCTTTGATTTTATGGTTTCTTATCTTAGATTTCTGTCTTTGTATCTTTTTTCAGATGCTGTCTGCTGCAACCAGGTCCCGTTGAAACTCCTGTAAGGTCGAAAGCGAGCGACTGGAGCCAAGAAAGCTTAGACTTGACAACTATGGACGCCAAGACGAAAAGTTTGATGGAAGCGGTTAATGAATATTTTGGCAAAATTCTCGGTGAAACCATTCAGAGTAGTGAAGAAATTGCGCAAATTGTACAAGAAATCATTTTAGGGGAGAAGAAAAACCTGCGACATCAAACTAATGTAAAATACGGCCCCGGTGAAATTGCTGCCAAATTAGCAGATCCTACGGGGGACGCATTGATTAATCTTGTGGCTAAACGTTATTTAAATCAGTAAATGTTCTGTTATTTGTCTAACTCCATTTCTTCAGTAAGCTTTTAAGTCGGAAATCTTACATTAACTTTGGTGAAGTTTACTTCATATGAGTATCTCGACATTGTGAAAATTAGGTCTGGATTTGTTATCTTTTAAGGCCAGTTGGACAATAATAAAACTTTGGAAAGAAAACGTATTATGTACGGATAGTTTGATGATCAGGGAAGGTAATCGAAATCATCAATAAGGATTTCTGCCTTGTAGAGGTTTGATCACTCGTGTTCATGCAACGCCTCCCCAAAAGTTCAAATATCATGATGTATCTTAAAATAACCCCCCTGCCTCCCCTAAATGCCCCATCCCCACCCATGGTAAGTAGTCCTCTTTGTTTGACCGTCGTTTTAAAAACCCAATGGTTTATGTGTTGCAACAATCCAACGATCTTTTCAAGTAGATCAAAGTCGAATGAATATGCCGAAAAAGAAAAACTGAATCGATTAGTAAACCTTAATGACCTCTACGATTGTCTCATGCGTCACAGCCATGTCATCGTCTGAAAAACTAAAATTGTCCTATTAAGAACCTCCTCGATGGTGTAAGTTGACAGTTGGCTACAATTATGCACGAATGTACTAAGCAAGTCATTCAGTTGTATCCATGGCTGAAATTAAGTTTCCTCTGAATTTGTTTAAAGCTACACACCTAGGAACATTATTTGAATACCACATGCATAAACTATGTAAGATGTCATGACCTTGAACCATTTTATATATAAAACCTGAGCATGAATTCGTCGTGAATATATGAGAGCAACATTTTTTTTTTACCGCGCTATTATGCTTATCAAGTTAATGAGGGGGACACAGTGCCATAGGCAGGCGATTCTCAAGATTTAACATAAGTTCAAATTGACAGCTGCCAAGATGTTAGCGGAGCGACCGAGCATCGTAATTTAATTTCTCTACAAGGCACCTGGAAGGATATTTTAATTGTCTGGCACTGCAGGCCTCAGCATGAATTTTCGTTCGGTATGCACTGTTCGTTTTTCTTGGCAGATGGTAGCATTATATCGTTTTTAACGTGTAGACAACAACAACGAAAAAAACAAAACAATACAAAACAAAATGCAAAACAAGATTCTATCCTTAAGAGAAATAGACTAGAATCCAGGGTTTTTCCTTTGATCTCACATACAGCCCCAGTCATCTTTTGATCCTATGATTTCTATTTGGAAACTTTTGAGGTATACCTTAAGTTGCCTTGCCACAAGCTCGAGTGACCCCGAAGCAACTGAAAGGGGATAAGTAAACAAAAATGGACTATGAAAGAATGACCGGTGAGATCCGTGTAATTAAGATTTTTTGTGACATGAAGAGAAGGTGTGAAAAAGGGAACCGATTTCCCCCGGTTAACAGTTCCTCTCTGGTAAGTGATACACCATCCAATGTTACGTATGTACCTCCTACTGTTAGCGGGTATCAGTTTGTCAGTGACACAACCGGGACCTTATCAATGCCTGGTGTTCGAGCCAAAATTTGACTGTGCGAGGTCTCTGTAATTTTGTGACGAATTTAATTTGCTGGCTGAATTATGGAGGCAAAAGGTATGTTGATGTCTGGAAAGCCGGAGAGCTGTGTGTAACCATGCTTCGAAAAGCAGTTGTAGGTTCTTTATATTTCGACTTCGTCTGTATGGTTGAAAGATTATAAGAGATAGCGTTTCTTTATGGCCAAAAGATATTTATAAACTCTTTAAGGTTAAAATCTAATTTCGTGCTACGCAGACCCATTTCTGTCACTTACTGGTTACTGCTAGGTACATGAAGTGACATGGAAAAGGTAATTATCAATTTGTCATGAATACTCTTTAAAATGACTATTCATTGCACGCAAAGCAGTAAGAGTCAGTTCGCTGCTTAAATGTCTCGAAGATGACAAGCTGGTACGGCCTTAGATCAACGAAAAGAAGTTTTAAACTTAAGCAAAATGTTGAAATGGTCGTCTTGATAAAAGGGTTTTGTTATTGACGTAACACATTTCTTAATTTTAGTGCTAAGAATTTAGTACTGCATCAGACAATTCACGTCTCCAGCCGGGCAATTTTGGTACTTATTTACTTGTAAATTTCCCTATTTTTATCTTTTGATCATTACCGTGTATATTCACTATCATTTGTCTTTTATCGGTTAGGGATGCATATGTGGTTCCTTGTTTTAGTTTTGTTTTGGGCCGGAAGCACATCTTACTCATACTCAGCATACCAAGGTATTTTTCAGTTTCAGTTTTCTGATGAAGCCATCAGAAATTTGCAAACCTCTCAACGCAGTGAAATTTTTTTCTCTCAGAATGGCAGAGCGAGTCACTGAGAGACGATATCGATGACAATTTCGATATTGTGTTTCCTGAAAGAATTGACAAGGGACGCTCAAAGAGAGATCTTTCCACAGGATTAGAGGTGTATGACCTTTCAGTTTCAGTGAGATCTAGAGACGTGCTCAATGTGCAATATAGTATTATTTTACAAGTTCTCTGTTATCTCTGCCTTTAAAGTCGTGTTTTGACGTTTTATGTTTTTTTTTTTCTCTAATCCCATCAAGCTCTACTCTCCTTCACATCCGTTATTTGCGATGTCACCGGCGCAACGGGAAAAACATTGCGCAACTTCCTAAAGGAGGCTACTTGCTCGCGTGCACGCAAAAAGAAGAGTTTGCAATCCTGTTTTCCACAAGCCCTTAGTAAGATGATACTCCAAAAATATAGCCGGTTCAATACCCTAACTGAAGACATATACTTTGCATGCCCTGTTCAGTGTTAAGTCCCTTTAGTCATTATAAGAGACTTTTCAAATCAGATTTGTGTTTTCCATTTCACTTGCCCTATCTAACACTCCTTCCATTGCAACGAAGGCGAACAAACCTCAAAGTTCTTTTAAGTGCAATTTCCCTTGATTACTATTTTTTAATATTTCAATGAAGAGATGCCAAGAGATACCAACTGGTTGAGACACCATGTGTTCATCTATGACAATAATGATTGTAAAAATAAGGTGCGTCCTACTACTTTGAATTCCTGACAGAATGGCCACGACGAGGAGGCGACGTTTAAGCTGAGAGCTTTTGGCAAAGATGTTGTGGTGGAAGTTCATATTAACAAGTAAGTACTGTAGAAACTGTAACTTCACTTGGCAAAGTTGGTCAAACAAACCCTACATTAACTGTGCGTGGCCATTCATGATTGACCATAACATTACACTCTCTGAACGCACATCTTATTGCTTATATTACCAGTGGGTCTATGAGATTTTTTATGAGTAAGTAAGTAATAAAGTAAAAGCTTTATTAATGTGTCGATGTATTTAGTTTTCACAACTAATTGGGGACATAAAAAAGAAATAAATAAGTAAATTAATAGATAAGATACAATAGAAATAAATAAGTAAATTAATAGATAAGATACAATAGAATTATTTACAAACAAGAAATTATGAAGGATGTAGATATAATTTATATGATTTATATGACAAGACAAACCTCGCCTTAAACCCTTCACACGTTAACATTAATATTCATATTCTCCACTCTGATTTCTCTTCATTTTGCGCTTCTTCAAGCTTAGCAACCTCCCGCGTGCATCCATAACTCAATACTGTACGCTGAAATGTTTACCATTTGTTAATCTTACTGACAAGGAGAAATTGTATGACATTCAGGAGCTTCTTAAATTGCTGATCATTTTCTTGATTCTCATGACCATTATATTTGATTCAGGGGTGATACTATAATGAGAAATTAGAAACCAGTCCCTCTCATAGATTCAAGGGTTAAGAGAAAGAGGAATAATGATCTAAATATCAACACCATTCATACCTCTTCTGTCTAGATTTGCTTCTTGGGTTGCTGCCTGGAAATGAGCGAAAGAGTAATTGTGTAATGACGTTTTTCTGAATAATTACACAGTTATGATTAATTATTTATTTGTTTTCCATCAGGATGGTTTCTTCGCCACAGTTTACTCTTCGTTATTTTAAAGAAGACGGCCAAGTGGTCCAAAGAAAGGTAACGCACCAACCAGAAATTACCCCAGCCAGCTCTTATCCATCATCGCATCTTTCTATAACGGAGGATAGTTGTTACACGCTCGGCAATATCTTACTACTCATGTAGATCTTCAGAGCTAAACTATCCAAAATGCAGTCTTTCACTTTTATTACAACTCATGTTTCCTACTGTAATGTTAGGAGGCACCGCCCAACTGCCAATATCAAGGTCACCTGAGAGGTCACGAGGCGCAGTCAACGGTCATTCTTGATACTTGTCATGGATTAAGGTGACTCTTATCACGTGATGTATTATGCGTTTCGTACCTGAAATTTTCATTTGTTTCCAAAAAACAGATAATAGTACAACTTTCAAAAATTCCAATGGCAACTTGTTTGTTAGTGTGTGTTTTAAGATTTTCACGTTCCTCAGTGTTAACCACGTTTTCCCTTTTTCAGCGGCTTGATTGAAGACGAGGATGGTAGAATGTACATAGAACCATATCCAGCAAAGGTATGCGAGGGATTTTGTAACTTGATAACAGTCAGCTTGACATCATGTCATTAAAAATAATCCTTTCATCATTCCATCGTAATATTACAGGGGGAAGGAGCGCACAAGATATTCAAGACAAGAGACGGAAAATGGAAAATGTTTTCATGTGGTAAGTTAGCACCTTAAAAGACCTCAATCTTTTTTGTGGCGTCTGTCTTTAACGGGAGCTTAGAGAATGTGCACATTTGCTTACAACATTATCAAACACATTTCATGGGCGCAGTCAGGACTTTTTTTTAACCACAGGGTCTTACAGTAATGCCCTATTAGAATTTAGGAGAAAACAGGTTGTTCTGATGTTATGGATTATCAATTTTTTTTCGTTAAAACAGAAAGAGGATCAAAACCAATGTATGACCCAAATAGGAAAGCCCTTGCATTACTTCTCTGTGCACCAGAAAACAGTGGCAAAGCTCCGGCACTCTTTTCATCTCATTCCTGTCGCAGTGACAGTTCTTCTTTGTGTGTTTCCATAACGGGATGAAGTTCGCCGGCTATATTCATACGCAACCTTCGCTACTAATATCCCTTTTGAAGATCGCTAGGATGAAGCCACGGGATCCATCCAAGCGGATTTCTGCTTCTGATTATTACTGAATGATTTACCGAAACATCCATGTTGATTTTTCAAGGAGCCAGTTTGGACGGGATTACCACAGCAGAAGAACTGAGCCATTCACAGATCAAATCTAGGGTAAGTCTTAAGAATAACATAAACAGTGGATCATAGTATGTACAGTAGTTTTAAGCATCTAAATTGTTTAATTACTCCACTTGGGGTGGAAGGCAGAACATGCACATATTCCTTTTTTCATGTATTTTATCATATTTCCATCTTTGTGAGATTAACATAAAACTCATTTGAGAGCAAGATGGAAAAAAGCTCTAGACAGGGCCAAACTATTCACAATTTGTATAGAATAAATGGAAGTAAAAGGTCGGTTGTAAGGGACCACATCAGGCCGAGCCAAAGCGCCGTCAAATGCCTCAAATGAGATTTCTTAGACTGCTATTTAACGATCTTTCAATGATTGGAACTAAAAACGGATTGATGTCCGTATCTGAGCAACAGGACACCCACCCCTCCCCTGTAACCCAACAAAAATCAACTGATAGCAAGTTAGGGTTAATTTTAGGCGAGGGGAGGGGTAGGAGCGCAGTTGCTTAGATACTGAAATCGATCCATTTTAACTATACTCGGATTCGCGGATTGAGTTTTCTGTTCTAAATAATGACAAGATCCGTTACATTTTAATGAAGTATTCCGATTATTTCCAGGTAAGGCGTGTAGCTGAAGAGTCAGTGTATAAAAAATACTTGACAACAACGAAAACAAGATATACGGAATTAATGATCATTGTTGACAATGCTGTGGTAAGGTTTTGCTTTTTTGAGGTTAAAATACTCCTTTTTTTTTTATCAAACGAAGTTTTTATCCAAAAATGCTGGTACTTTTCAAGATTACGCGGGTGGGAGAGATCATACCCGCCTGATCTATCGTAGAAAACAAGTTATCAATGTTTATACGACTAGTGTAACGTGTTCTATTGCTGTTTTCTTGGTTGCAGTACAAGAAATACAAGCAAGACATTGACGACGTGAAACGAAGAGTTTTTACACTTGTAAATGCTGTTGATACGGTAAATTGCTTAAAGGAGTTGGTTGTAATGTCATCTACTCATTTCAAAACGTTCGAGGTTCCATTCACGGAAATCAGACGGAATGATCTATAAAATTCTAGGGTTGAAAACGTCTATTCTTTATGAAGCTTAAAGAACTTTTAAGCGCAGCTTTAGCTTCGTCATATCACTGTTACAGATTTATCGCAAGATCAACATTCGAGTTGTGTTATCTGCGCTTGAAATATGGACTGACGAGGATCACGTCCCTTTTGTGAAGAGAGCCGGTGATGATTTAAGAAATTTCTTGAGTCATCACTCCAGCAGACTGGCAGGCGTCACCTACGATAGTATACACCTGTTGAGGTATGGAACCCGCGGGGCTAAATGAAACTTGCTAAGATTTAGTTCGTTAATCTAACTGATTAATTCATAAGGTCACTGTTGGCAGGCTGATTGAGGTATTTGGTCACAGGTGGAAGAAAACGGATAGAAAAATAGGTAGACAGATAGACTCCTTTACTGAAGTCCAACTTTACCATTTTCTCATTCTAAGAGCCGCGTCAGAGAGCAGACATTATAAGAATCAAGCTGTACCAAAGAACCACGTATTTTCATGTCTGAGATCGGTATTAATTAATTCCTTAGCGAAATGATCGTATGTTTACATCATCAGAGATAAATTCAAATCACATTACTTCTTTGTTTTGAAAGTACTGAGAATCAGTGACAGTTAGTCACGTTACGGAGTAATCAAATATCTTGTTTCACCATTCTAAACAGGGGTGTGATGTGGGACGATTATGGTGGAATGGCATACAGAGGAGAGATTTGCACCAGACGATCGCTGGGCGTGGATGCGGTAGGCCTGTAATCGTAAAGCATAATCACTTGCTTGATAATTACATCAGCATTTATTCCTTGTATTTACGTACGTAAAAATGTTAACACATGGCATAAGTCCTTTTTCTTTCAATCATTGAGTAGTTTAGAACACTGCACTTTGACAACTATATGTAAATTTTTCTCGTTATAAAAATTTTTGGGAGTTTACAAAATCCTCAAGAAAATTTTAATGAACGACGTTTAGCGGATAAATGCGTAAACGAAGACTATCCATTGTTTTCAGCTTATTCTTCGCGCGATCTTCAGACCAAAAAATTGTCTCCTCCGGAGAGAAGCATTTCCGTTACTTTGTTACTTACAGGTTGCTATGTTGTTCTATTTATAGTGGAACTACTGGGGTTCCCTTGGTCCTTGGTTAGCTTTATCTCATGAACTTGGGCACAACTTTAACTTTGACCACGATAACAGTATGTAAATATTTCCGTGTGCAGTAATTGCTTCTTCAACGATGTTACATTTACAAATCGATACAGCGCAGGTCGACGCTCACTCAAATAAGCTGTGCCAATGTCAAACAGAGGTTTCTAAACATGGGTTTTACAGTATCCTTAGGTGATAAGTTTATGTAACTAGCGACTAGTCAGCACATATTAACTGGGAGGGGGGTAGGATGATTCGGGGGATCACATGACTTTCAGGGAATAGTGGTCAGTCGTCACTAATAGGTTATAAAGGAGAGGGGGGGGAACTGTAGGAAATTCACTGCCAGTGAGGGGCAATCATTAGAATACTACAGAGCCTTTTGGGGTATCAAGTAAAATTTATTGTGACACCCAGCATTCTCCGAGCCCCAACCCCC